CCGAGGAGCAGCCAGGCGGCCGCTCCCTCCCAGCACCTGCTCCTGAGAAGGGCCCCGAGAACCCCAGTTCCTTTCCACAACCACATTTTCCCTAGAAGGTGAGGCTGTCGTGGCCTTCGCCCACCAGCATTGCTGTGCCCAGCTGGGCATCCCTGGCACACGGCGGGGGGAAGTCAGGATCTGGTCTCCTGGGGCGGACAACAGCACAGTGATGAGCAGAGAGCACATCTGGGCTTTTTGCATGTCCATGTCAACGTGCAGAACTGCTCGTTTTGTGGTGTGTGAATCCATCTGCGTTGTGTTACCTGCAGAGCGCCGCCGATTATAGGATACTTGCCTTTTGAAGTGCTGGGTACTTCTGGCTACGACTATTACCATATAGATGACCTAGAGCTGCTAGCAAGGTGCCATGAACACTGTGAGTATCACACAGCCCACGCTCACTGGGAATCACCAGGACTCCTCTTTTCACTGAAACATAGTTTCAGCTAAAATTGGTTTAAATTTGGAAGGGGAGCGGTGACCCCTGCCTCACATCTGTATGTCTTAGTGGAGTTAGAGCAGACTGGGGGCCCTGCAGCTGATTGGCGTCTGGGCCAGATGTACCAAGCTCTGAGAAATATAATTTTACCCTCTGTGTCCCCAGAAGCAGTCAGTAGGACTCACTGAATGGATAAAATACACCATATTAGACACCCACTCTACTAGTAAAGAATATACAGGAACAGTTGAAGCCTTCTCAGAGGATATCCTATTTTGTAAAGTTCTTGCAGATTATTTGCCCTAATGTTGTTCACCAAGTATTTGGGATTATCTGTGATTATTTAAATATGATCTATTAGATTTAATTGAAAAACTCTTCCAATGAGTAAAGAAAATGAGGCAAAGCTTTCGAAATATTTGCTTAGAGAACTGGCTGGAACATCTCAGCTTACCACCCCTGGGTGGCCTGAAAATATCCCACCAACCTTAGTTTTTGTATGTTGGCATTAAAATACAGAAAGGCTAAATATGTGCATGTTTGGGAACCCTTTGAAGTCACTGGGGGGGAAAGCAGAGATTAATTTCGTCAGGGAACCTTTAATACACCCCAGTTTACTGCACTTTGAATTCTTGTCAGTGGGATGTTTCTTTTAGGTTCAAATTATTTTTGTCTTTGCACAATGTGATCTCCTGTACTTCATTCTGAACAAATCTGCACACAATACCCATCTTTTCAGGCATTTTTATCTGATACTTTTCTGGTATAGAACTTGGGATGATCACTCATAGAAATTAATCCCAGAGGCCTAATTAAGCAGTGTGTGATCAGCACATAAACCAGGGTAAGATCCGTGTCTGAGTTGTAGCAGATATTAATGCGTTAGTGTCCAAAGTGAAGGTTAATTGTCTTGTGTAGGAATGTGCCATTCCAAGTGTCAGAAAAAGATACCTACTGATCTTTGTGATATTTGCTCTGTGATAAAGCTGACAGGGCCACTCATTTGAAAGGTGCTTAGACTCCTGTCTCCCGTGGGAATCAATCGGGCCATAGATACTTTTGTCACACGTTTCACATTTCATGTCATTTTCACATCATAAATTGTGCTACAAGCTGTGTGTATTTTCTGCTGACAGTGATGCAGTTTGGCAAGGGGAAGTCATGCTGCTATCGGTTTCTGACCAAAGGACAGCAGTGGATCTGGCTCCAGACCCATTACTATATCACCTACCACCAGTGGAACTCCAAGCCAGAGTTCATTGTGTGCACACACATGGTGGTAAGGTATGGAAAATCCTTCGGCCGGCGGGGACATAAAGGACAGTAAGATAAGGGCTTTCTCATGGCTGCTAAAATTTTCTTTTAGAAAAATCTGTCTTTTATGTAACAAAAAAGAAGTCTGAACTCTCTGAAGGATAGATGTTCATTATAGAAAAATGATCAGACTAAACCCTTTTTTATCCCAAGCTTGATTTGTCAATCAGGAGTTTAGGGGCAGATTAACTGTTGTATTTTTCCATTTTGTGCAAAAATAAGGAATAGGCAGATCTCTTAACTATTCTAATAATTAGTTAAGTTCTAATCCTTTCATTGCATTTTAAAGAGATGTGTGGAAGCTTTCCAATGAAGTTATAAAGTGGTTGTAGGCTGTGAACTTGACCTTTATATATACTACTTTAATATACTGACCTGTAATTTAACCTGTAAAAAGTTTTAACAATGTACTGCTCTATTTGCTTAAAGCACATTTTATGAAAGAAAACAATCCATACTGATACATGCAATTATATTTTACATCCAGTTATGCAGATGTCCGGGTGGAGAGGAGACAGGAGATGGGCTTGGTAGAAGTGTCCTCAGAGGTTGTGTCCTCGGCACTAAAGGTACAAAGAGAAAACGATTTTTGGATGAATATATGCAGTAATCACAACTTGTTCCTATGTTAACACCACTGAAGACTCCAGCACTGTCTTTCTGGGTGGATTCCCTCAACTTCAGAGTTCATTGCTCACTTGAATAATTTTAAAGTAAATTGGATAAACTCCTGAGAGGATAAACCTGGAGACAGTAACAGCCAGGAATTAACTGGAACATGGGTGGGGGCAATGTGAGATACCTCCACCTTTCCTTGGCAAGCTGTTACTGTTTAAAGAATCATTTGGACACGTTCTGGCAACCAGCCTTCTTGGCTACCACTCAGTGATGTGCTGAGGGAAGAAAGAAAAGCTCCTCCCCAGTGCATGGCCGAGTGTCTCACAGAGGTTACAGCTGCTGTCACATCCAACTGATTGCCAAAGAAAGATTCCAAAGAACATCTGAAGGCAAAAAACAACTATGGCAGTACCTGGCTATTTATTTCCAACTCAGTGACAGCTCTTTGTAAAATGCTTCAGTTAGGTGCTGTTTGGAACGGACGTTGACGCCTGTGCCCAGGTCTTCTGCTGGCCTGCTTGGGATTTGTTCTGCTCAAGTCATTTTAGGCCACCCAAAGAACTGGGTGTGCAACCACTGCATTGTATTTCAACTTGCTTTTACCCTGGCAGATGCAGTACCTGCTCCCTTTGTTTGTTTGTTTTAGGACAGTGGCACCAGCTTGGACCCTGAACAGCACTTTAATGCACTTGATATTGGTGCCTCAATCCTCAGCGCTAGTCGGACACCCTCAGTATCATCCAGGAGCTCACCAAAATCTTCCCACACACCCAAGTCAGACCCAGCATGTGAGTGGCATTCCCGGGTTACTGCATCATTTTTCATTTACCCAAGTTACAGAACGTGTGCCTGTATACCACAGTTGGTAATTTAACAATTATTTATGAGGTATCGATGATAACTGTTGCTGACAATGAAGTGCAGAATCTGAAATGGTAACATACAACACAGAGAGTGCTAGTGCAACTACCCATACATGGGGAAATAAGTAGTGGGACTAGCTGTGAGACCTGCTGTTTCAGTCTGTTATGAAAATGAGGGCTTAATAGCTTCAGATTTGAGGGCATCAGTATGAGCAATATAACTAGACTTAGGCGAGTAATAACAGTGTGTGGGTGATTCTCTTCTGGCCATGGTACAGGATGCTCCAGCCTTGACCTGGGCACACATTAGATGCTCTTTCTGCTCCCTGCTCTGGAAGAAAAGCCAATGAGCTAACCTAAATTTATGGTTATTTGGCCCATGGGAAGGGAGTTTCAGCTGGTTTAGAACAGCTCTTGGGTCCTTTTGCTCCATTCATTGGAGCACAGAATCATAATCTGTCTCATTTACTTTTATCTTTGCCCCGGCCCTCCTTATCAGTTAGATTTTACTGCCGTTGAAGTCAACAAGAACAGCCTTGACTCCCACTGGAATTCAGCCTGGCTGTAATAATTGCTAGCTAGGTCTCATAATTCCCACTTCAAATGGGGATGGTTTCCAGCATGTGAGAACTCAATGGTGCTTTTCTTGCAGCTACACCAACAAAGCTGATGGCAGAGTCTAACGCTCCCTTGCCAAGGACACCAGGCGTGCAGCAGGATTTATCCGTGCACAGACTCAGTCAGCCTGCCACTCTTCAGGTAACGGTCCAAAGAGTCATCAAAATAACCAGATGATATGAAGCATGTGCCACATACACAGCTTAGCAAATGAAAAGGACTTAGACGAAAGCCATGGCACTAAAAGAAACCTAAAAGGGCTAAACTTATAAATAAAGTTTTGTTTTGTTCTTAACCTAGGTTTCTTTGCCTTCTCAGCCTCCTTGTGAACTTCTCCCTCAGCAGCTGCTGCCTCAAGCGACTCTGCAAAACCAGCCTGCACCTCTGGCACAGGTTAGTTGGGGATTTGGAAATGGGACAGGTCACTTGCCTATCTCCTCATATTTTCTCCTTTCACCTAGTAGATAAATTGATAGGGACCAAGTCTTTTGGGGCTTGTAGGTTATCTCCTTAGCAGCTCATATCTCCAAATCTACCAGCTATCAAACTCTTAAAATATTGTGGGAAAGTAATCTGAATTGAACACTTGTGTGTTTAAACGTGTAACTGCATACAGGCAGTAAGAGCAAAAGCCCAGGTGCACACACACCCCTATTTTACAGGAGGACAAAAAACATATGGAAAACGAGTCTTCAGCTTTGCTTCTACAGAATCAGGTCCCATCAAAATCAAGGTCACATTGACAATTAAACCAAAAAACTAACAAAGACCCAGTCCTCCTGAAGACACCTGTTTGTCTGTGCTGATTGAGAACAAACCAGCAGTAAGGGACACACAAGTTCAACAAAAAACATTTTGTGACTGTGACAGTAATGGTGAGGATGCTGCTAGAGGCAAATTCCTCCAGTGAAATCTGTTAACGCCTGTCTAAAAAGTGGGTGATGGCACCAGAAGACACCTCAGTGTTCCATATACAGTGGATTTTGAAGGAAAAAATTTGACTACCATGTTCCCATCACATCATTTCTCTCCTGTGGTCATGCTGTGATGATACACTCCATCATCCACTGATTTTAGAAATGACAGAGTAGTCCTGGACCTAAGCTGCTTCTACTGCTGATACCTTGTGCACCCTCACAAGATGCCAGACTTTATTTCTGTAGCATATAAAACATAGAAAGTCCTGAGGATCCCTGACTTTAAAATAACAAAGTCTCATTTATCTTCTATGTTTAATATTCTTTTCACGACTCCACACCAGCATGCAGTGAAGAAACAGCATATCAATTATCTGCTCCGAGCATTCATTTTCTTTTACAGATATTTCTCTCTGTTATTCATTAATGCATTTCCAAACATAATTCAGTTTATTTATTATAAACACACATGTGTTTTGTTTGACTTTTTTTATGCCTCCCTTTCTTCTCCATCAAAGCTCTCTGTGAAGAGATGCTTTCCAGTTGTTTACAGAGAGCCTCGCTGCCTCACCCCTTCCCAGTAAAACACTCTTCCTGGCATCCAGCTCCATTTATTGTCCACCAGATCAGAGCATCGTCCAGTTGCACAGCCACTGGTTAAGCCTCTTTGAGCTGACTAAATCTCCGTGAAAGGAAGAGGACTGACTTGAGTCTTTCTACAGAGGCAGCCCCCTTCTCGACTGGCAGCAAGGTCACAGCAATGCTTTTGCTGAAGCTCCAGATGGAGCTTTCCCTTCATGTGGAGCAGGGAAGTGGCACCAGGACATTGCAGCTCTGGTTGCTGAGGCTCACACCCCGTAGTGATAATCCTGGGAAAGGTAGCCATCCTCCACAGACTTGAGTCATTTTAATAACCTATTAATTTCTTTCTTCAATTGCTTACCTCCCCCTTAAGACAGCAAACACGTCAGCCTACAGCAAGCTAATCCATTATTTAAAAGACAAGGTGCCTGCAGCGCTAAGCAAAGGAGTGGTGAAACCCAGGGACGTGCGCTTCCCACCACTAACATTTCTTTGGTTTCCTAGTTGACCATTTCTCAGCAGTTTAGGGACAGAACACAAGCCCACCACCCTGCTGCCAGGCCATGAGGAGGACCTGTGTAGGTTCTTCCTGTTGCCTTCCTGCTGCTCACCCTCAGCCAGAGGGGACTGACGGCAGGAGCTGAAACGCAGTGTGCCAAGAGCCACGCTGAGTAGATGTAGCACTTGAGGCTGTGGTCTAGTGGTTTGGGAGGAAGGTTGGACTTGATGGTCCTGGAGGTCCTTTCCAACCACAGTGATTCTGTGATGGGTGTCCTTGTGGCTAACGTTTGGCTACAGGGTTGCAGCGGGGGGGTGAAGGACATTTTAAGCAGCCACAGCCGCATCTGCAGCGAGCAGCCAGCTCCTGCCTCAGGCACCATCTGCTTGAACTTTGATTAGTTTTGTTTCAAGCACAGGCTGCGGTGGGTTTGCCTCCAACAAAATGCAGTTTTCACTTCTGCCTTGCTTGTCTCAGTGAACAGACAGCACACTACTAGATGTCACCTGAATATAAATGGTTTACTTAAAACCAAGTGCTCCCTACTAGAATATTTGTTTGTTTGCCTTCCTCATTGTAATAAATTAAAATCCCCTACAACGCAGCGGATGTTGATGGCTGAATAATAATTAGCACTAATAAAACGTTTGGGATTGCACAGGTGTTATTCAGAAGACAGAAAGAAAGAACAAGTTGTTCAGTGAGCTGCAAAACTAATGAAATGTGGTTTCCCAGGGTCTGCACCTTGCGAGGCTTGTGCAGGGGACCCAGCCATCACCACAGGAGGAGGGGAGGAGTAGATCCCTTTCTCCTTTGCTCAGCTAAAGCTTTCATGAAATTACAGCAATCTGGTATTTTTGAGACCATCGCAACTCTTTTGCATGTCTCTGGCACTGGCCAGAAGGATTGCAAGTTAGAAGGCAGGCAGAAGAGAAGGGTTTAATGGAAATCGAGCTACAGAATAAATAGGGTCTCTTTTCTTTACCCAGCTACCTATTGTCATGGAACTTGTAGGAACAGGATGTCTTTGAGGTGTCTGTCTTTTTGTTCATCACATCTGAAATGAGGGACTATCCCAACAGACACAGGAGCCATCAGTCCCTCCCCTGGCTGCAGCCCCCCAGCACCTAGAGAGAGGGAGTCCCTCGGGCACCCTGGGGTGGCACCCCGTGCAGAGGCAGCCCCTCCTCAGGCTGTCCAGCCGGCCTCTTTCGGATGCCCGTGCTGGTGGAAAGAAGTCACAGCCAGGAGGTGCTGGTCTCTCTCCCGGGGCTGTGCAGCCTGTCTGGACAGTAACTCATGGAGCCTGGAGGATGGTGCCCGTCCCCACCCAAACATGCCCACGCCATCCCAGCAGCGTGCGGGACGCTGACGCTTTTCTGTGTGCAGTGTGCACCTTTCTGAGAAACCCACAGAAGCTGGAAGTACCTGAGACAGACAGCAGCTCCGTCTGACGCTCCTGGCAAAATTAAAGCTGTGCAGCGTTTTCTGTGGAACATTTTGAGTTAAGCTTGTTTAATTTATTAAACAATTACAGATTTCTCCCCTAATTAGTAGAGTGGTTAACGATCTTGAGATAAACACTCTCTGGTGCAGGTCAATCGCTGTTAGCGTCTCACTGTACAAAAACAATAAAAGCTTTGTAATCACAGGGGTCATGGCTAGAGTTATCAACAAATTTGGGAGTTAGAGTGGGAAAGGGAAAAAAGCAAAAAAAGAAAGTGCCTTGTCTTCTTCTGTAATGGCTCTCACCATAGTAGACCAGATAACTGTTGGTGTTAAATGTTAATACAAAAAAACATGAAAAAGAGAACAAAAAGACAATACGACATGAATATGCTAAATATAAGGTGCTAAAGAAAACCAAACCAAACAATAATTTAAAATCAACAGCAATATATTTTTGCATGCAATTTCACAGAGCAAACTTAAATTCAAAACTAAAGCCTGGAAGCTGATTTTGTTTCGTATTGAACTATAAAATGATAGTGAAATTATCTGTTTAAAAAGTCCTTAGATTTTTTTAATTGAAGTAGATCAGGTTCCTTTCCCAAAGTGTCTTCAAGGAGTTTGTACGTATATGTAAAACCTGCCATCAGCAAGCCAGACAGTGAAAGTGAAGCTTTGGGCTAAAATTGATTTTAGTTCCTTTCTGATAAGGACCCTTTTAAAGATTTGAGTAGTCCTCACTAACAGAGTCCGTATAGAGAGAATCAGGTTGCAAGACTTGGCTTTTTAAAAAGTCATGTACAGAACCAGGTTAAGGCAGGACTTAGCTGCATCTCATCTAAGCAAACCATAGTGTCATTCCATGCCTAAAATCAGGGTACCTGGCATTCTTCAGAAACATGGAGTCAGGCTACAACAAGCAGCACCACACACCCCTTTAAGTCACTTGTCTTTGTTCCCAAACATCAGAGGCTTCCTCTTGTCCATTCCTCGGGTTAATACTTTATACATGGACAAGAAAAGGGGACACTGCTCTGACCTCTCCCCTTTAACACCAATTAGAAGTAACACAAACTTCCCTTGGGGAGCTGTGACACCATCTTTCTGCTCTGGGGGAAGACTGGGTTGCAGATGATGGTGCTGCTGTCTGAAGGCGGAAGCTCCATGAGTGATGGTGCCAGAGGCCAAGTGTTCACGTTATCTCCCTGAGCAGACGGTGCAAGCTGGGAGCACTGGCAGATGCCTTTGCCATCAAAGTGAGCTCCGAGGGCCCCTGGCAGCAGAAACTGCACAGACCACCTTAGCAGCCCTCCTTACCCCTCACTAGGGTTGGTTGTGAAACCCCCTCCACCCTGCCACCACTCTTTGAGCAGTGGCCTCCTGGACTGTGTGGGAAAGCTGCCCTCCACATGGAAAAGAGAAATAAACCCTCTGAAGTTCTCCTCCTCTCTCACCTAAAGGCCATTTTGCATGGAGATTTCAGCTGTGCTGGAGGGAATGTGAAGGTATTTCACATACTTAGCTGGTTTAAGGTGAAGCAGTTAGCTGATGATACAAATCTGACCTGTTGCATTTAGATTTCTCTAAGTAGCTACAAATTTCATTTACCTGTACAGTGTTGCTAGCACTACAGCTCTCCTTAATTCTCTTTTTCTTACCATTTTTATTTTCCTACTGAAAAGCCAGAAATGGTGTAAGCAAGCACAGCTCTGTGGAGCAGGAAGACTCCAGCAGCATGTATCTGTTCACCCATTAGCACAGAGCCACTGGAACAACCACGGGAGCAGGGCACCATTTTCAAATCACAGCTAAATTATTATTTTTCTTTTCCCTGGACACTCACAGCACTGCAATGTTTTTAGACAGGTCTTGGATGCCTTGAAAACAGAAAAGCTCACAGATTTTTTGAAGTGGTTCTTTTTTTTCCCAAAGACTGTTTTTTACTTTTGGACTATGAGCTCATGCAAAGCAACGATTCCAAAGCCTATTAAAGTAATAATTAACTTTGGTGGACTTTGAGTCATACCCTAGAACACCAAATAAAAATAGAAATTTATTGCTGCGTTAGTCCCTTCCTCATTTCTTGAATGATTCCACTTTGTGCCAGGTATTGCTGCTATGCTACTGGAGGCTGCATTTTCTTCTTGACCCTGATTAGTGATCTCTACTTTATATGCTTATTTAGAATAGCCTTTCTCCCACTGAGCTGAGCTATTCATTTGACATCACGTATAAAAATAACTTAATGAGTATTCTTTGTAGCTTGCCTACTGCTCAGCTGTAGAAGTCTAGAAGTGTTTCTTGTGGTCAGCAGTTGTGTGATGCTATAGTAAGGCATCAGCAGAAAAAGCCATTGTAGCACTGCTCTTTCTGTGTGGAAAAAGGAAAGCGTTAGTAAAACACATCCAGGATAAACAGTTATGTCCCACTAAGGGCTCCAAACTACAGGCTAATAAAAATAATGCACTCATTTGCCATCCAATTAAGATGCTCTTGATATTTGAAAGTAGCATACTTTCAAAAACGGCCCTTCTGATAATTCCCTAACAGAACAGGGTCAGTGGTAAGCAGATCACTCTGACTGAGGCAATTTAATATATGTGCATAAAATTGAAAATGGACAAGATTTATCTCTGCCTATGTTAGTGTATTACAAACACGTCTTTTATGCCTTTGGCTGTGCTTTACAATCAAGAAACCACTAACTTCTTACAGACCAGTGTTCTACTGAGGCCTGCTCGTATTCTACTGACTGATTTTTCCCTCTTTTTTCCCAGTTCTCAGCACAGTTCAGCATGTTCCAGACCATCAAGGACCAGCTAGAGCAGCGGACTCGGATCCTGCAGGCCAATATCCGGTGGCAGCAGGAGGAGCTTCAGAAGATACAGGAGCAGCTCTGCCTTGTCCAGGACTCCAGCGTACAGGTGTGTCACTGCTGGGGGGGGGCAGAGCAAAGCATGCCCTCTGGGGTGGCTGCTGAGAGGGTTGGCAACTTAAAATTACCTCCAGGGTCCAAGAAATCTAGACATGTAGAAACCCACTCCACCGAATGAGGATGTTGCCATCTGAAAGCCTCCCAAGTAATCTATGTCACAAAAGATTTGAGAGCTCTCCGGGAGAAGAGAAGGAAGAAATATCTCAACCTTAGAAGGAGGAGAAGAATTTTAGACATTTACAGTAGCATTTTAATACTTTATATACTGAGTCTTCAGACTGAGCAGCTGTAGTAGAAAAATGTTCAAGTGGAGACTCGCCAATGATTATGTCTCTCCAGTTCATTAGCTTCCATCCAGTCACTGCCTGCTTCATGTTAGCATCACTTCTGCTCAGTATGTTGTCTGTCCAGCTCTTCCTTAGCCAACAGCCCCTCTTCATGCAGCTTCATCTCTTTCAGTCACTCCCCGTTCTCCTGACCCTACCCCAGCCTGGATACAGAGCACACATCATTCATTTCCTTGTCATGTTAAAAGCCCCCCAGCCTCTGCTGACGCTCATTTGCTCACATCTGAGGGGTGTCTGACTTTTTCTTCACTGGACCAGCTTAAGCCTTTAGGTGAAGCTGACTGAACTTGCTCTTCTTCTGCCTTTGATACGTCCTACACAGAGCTGGAATTCACTAAGTACAGTATCTGCTTTCAATTCACCAAGTACAGGAGCTGCTTTATACTACCCCTTATGTCTGCCCAAGCTCAGAAATAATAGCGAGTGCCATTCAGTACATTGCAGGTTTCTCTTACTGACAAATGGGCAAATCATCCAGTTTTCTGGAAGTTTTCTAAATGCAGGATGATAACTGCTATGTTCCTCATAATTTAACTTTAAATGCCAAGTTGAATGACCCGTGTTAGAAATGTTGCACTGGGGACCCACTGTGAGTATTGTACTAACAAGATTTTACAGAATACAAGCTCTGTCACAGAAATTAATACCTCAAAGAGTATTTTAAGCACAGGATGAAAACC